TCATATCTTATTGTGACTGGACTACAAAGAGAAGGAGTCTTAACAAAGTGCTCATTTAAGATTAAAACAAATTCTCTATTTGACTGGATGCATAGAAGCTTCATTTTGCTCAACGAAAAGGGAAAGATGCTCGTTAATGCTTTCTACAAAACCAATGGGTTGACACAAAGTATATTTTGTTAGGAATAATCTATTGGACTAAGGAGAACAAGGACCCAAATGTTATCTATCTTGCACAGAACTGACCCCTAAGTGTGTCTGCCTGTAGCTGCTCCAGCAAGCACACAGGGCAACCCTTCCTCTTCCATCCTGCTGTCTGCAAAGATCTCTGTTCAGGCTCCTTGTTTCAACCACTGCAGCTGGAAGCCCAGGGGAAGGAGAACCTGCTTGCTCAGTCTTAAGGTGGTGGTGAAAAAAAGAGGAAATGGGAAAAAACTGCAGTTGGTACCGAATACATCCCTTTGCTAATTTGGACCTTAAAAACACCATTCAAGTAAAACATATAAATAGTTTTACTACTAGTATCTAAAAACTAAAAAGGATGAGCACAAGGCCAGGCCCTAAGGCTGCCTTTTCAGCAAACAAAGTCTTCTGTGCAGAATTGATAGGTGCTAATTAATAGATAGTGATGTTTTTTCTTTGCCAATTACTTACTGATATACCTGATTCTCCTCTTTGATAAGCCAGTCTAAATTGGTAATAGCTTTTATCGCAGCTGTGAGCAAGCAGAATCAAGTATACAGTAGTTTTCCTTTTAAGTTGTTTATCTTCTGCTGTTATATAATTCTCTGCAGAGTTTGTTTGGAATTGCAGTGAATTAAAACACCTTATTTATTATTATTATTTGTATTGCAGTAGGCCTAGAAATCCCATTGTGGACATGGGCTTTGCTGTTATGTGAATACAACTCTAAACACAAAAAGGCTGTGTCCCAGAGAGCTTACCTCTGAGCTTTGTGATTGATTGCTTGTATGAACTCCCTCCAAATGTTACCTCTGAGCAAATGTTTTCTGTAATTTATGTCATAGTCTATCTCCTGCTTTGTTTTGTTTCTGTATTTGGGGATAGAGTTTGCATGAAGCAATCGAAAAAATAAAGTCGTGTTGCATTGGCTAGCACTGAGATTGGTATTCTTTGGAGGCTGAAACTAAAGTCAAAGAATAGGAGATTTTCTAACCAAGCCAAATAAGGTAATGAGATAAAGACCACACGGGGAAAAAAAAAAAAAAAGCAGACAACAAGATCCCTAACCAGTATGCTAGTGCTGATTTGAAAAACTCAATACACTGTCACATAATGTGATCATTTCACTTTGTTTTCTTCAGAAAAAAAAAACCTTAAAACAAAGTAGTAAACAGAGCAAGCAGATTGCTGGCCTTGGAGCAGTGATCCTCCAGAGTTCTGATTAAAGGCATCTACCCTCCAACACACATAACTCCTCCAAGAACTAAAGATACAACAAATGCCTTCACAACCTATTAGCCAACTTTGTATTCTGAACAAGAGAACCCTGGGGCCCAGCCCAAAAAGGTCATGGAATTTCTTAGGCTCAAACTAGGCCTAATCAAGCTTTTCCCAAAAGCAAATGCAGGAAAATAATGATTTGCAAGAGGAAAATCTAAAGAAATCACATAATTCTCCCACTGATTAGAGTCTTCCAGTGTAGCTGCAATTGGTACATGGCTCTGAAAGGAAAAACCCCTGAAATCAGTTCTGGAGAAAGAACTGGGGGCTTAATTCTGCATGGGGCTGCCCACGACCAAACGAACACCCTTAAACCCATACTTCAGTGATGTAAAAGGGTTTGAATAAATCCTGAATCATGCTCACTATTTTCAATGGCCATGGAGGATATTCTATCAGTCTAGCCCACCTTACCCTATTTTTTTACTCTCAGCAAATTTTTATATTACTCTTGAAGAAGCAACTTTTTCGTAATTTGGCTGCAAATGTAACTCCTGCACCAAACTGTTCTGTCACGCGTATGCGTTCCTGTGAACCTCCTAATTTCTCACCGGTGATGCATTCTGCAGCTTTAGTTAATGAAAAAGTAGTAAGGTGGGCTCTTGGGCCAAACAGAACTAGTTAGAAAGTTTGATGGTTCATTTTATCAGAAGAATATATAGGAAATGCAAAAAACAAGTTTACTGCAAACATATCTTTTGATCCCCCTCCTCTTTTTTTTAATATTCAAATACATCCCGCAAGGACTATTAGTTGCAAAAGAAAAGTATTTGCTAATGATACAGCTTAAAAGCAAAAACAAAAATTACAGCTGCCGGCTTCAAGAAGGCCCTCCTACAGGTCATTTATGGGTTTTCAAAGTGAAGGATTTCAGAAATGCAAAGAATAACTGACAGTTCTATATACATAATGCATTCCTCCCTAGGCACATTTACAGTCTATATAGTGTGCAGTTTTTAAAAACATTCTTAGATATAAAACCAGTGACTTGGAGAAACAATCACTTTTTTGAGGTAAATTTAGTTTTATCAGAGGCAAGGATGCTAAAGTTTCTTTGACTGTGACCTACGCTTTACTTGTATTTATTTGTTTGCTGTCCAGCCCTGCTTAACATTTCCTTTGAGGTGAAATTCCTTGTCAGACTCCTTCCATTACACCATTTGTCTTCGCAGCACAGATTCTCTTTCTTCTTGACTATTCCACTGGCATCTTTGCTTGGCTTCCTGTTCTTCTATCCACCCCCCAGGCTATGGCTGCCTGCTTATTTATGCTGTCGGCTTAATTTCTTGACTGATATTCTCACATTCCCCCTGCTACTTACTTATTTACATTGTCTGCTTGTTTCCAAGTCCTGCTTCTTTAAGAACACCATACTATTTTATTTATGGAAGAGAATCTCTGTTTTCCACAGCTTGTTCTTTATGCTTCTGCCACGACCTTCTACAGTACTAGTTAATCATCCCTAATACCGCTACACTCAAACTGCCGTGCTTTTCAATCCTCTGTTCCTCTCCAGTGGAATTCTCTTCCTGGGGACACCTCATTAGCTGAATCAGGGCATTTTTTTATTATAGTTATTATTTAGCACCTAAACGGCACTACGTTCTCCAGGTAAGTTGAAGACAAGGCCCTTACGCTACATTACTCATGACCTATGGATCTGGTTTACCCTTCGTCAGGGTAAATCAGCAACAGCTCCTACAGTCAAAGGACTTGGACCTCAGTGTAAAACAAATCAGCAAGGAAAGAAATAAGTACCATACAAGCATACATGGCAGCTGGATGACAAAGGGTACAACACCCTACGAGGGAAGAGAGAGAAGGCCTACTCTTGTTTCTAACAGAAACATTTTGGAAAGCCTACGAAACACACAGAGGTAGAACACTGGCTCAGGAAAGTCAAGACATCTACTGATTTTAGTAGTGCCACAGTTTCCCCGGGCTGTTTTGGATGAAACAGGTATAAGCTTCACGACAAGAATTTAAAAGCATTCTCTGAGAAGAGACAAAGGACCTGGAGGCCCACTTCAGAGAGGGATTTAAAGATTTGAGAGATATAATGTATATGTGAGGGCTTAAGTGGGACTTGCACTGGCCAGCTGCTCAGGGTGAGTTTCACCTTGACGGAGTAGCCAGAATATGTCCTACCCAAAGTGCACTGCTCCTTTTAGCTACTGCCAGAACATTTCGATTACTCTAGCCAAAGATTTATTTGTCATGAGAAAGGTTGTACCAAGTTCTCTTTGCACATAACAAAATGTACTGTGGGCTCTTCCTAGTTAATGTTGTTGATTTCTGTTAAAGTGATGACCTTGCACCTCTCAAGTAACACAGAGGGGACAGTGCAGCTTAACTCTGCTTCTCAGGAAC